GCTTCCACTTGTCTTTGCACTAGGATGATGTCGGTGTAAATGTGCAGTCATATTCATTGTGTTCCCACTAGTGCTGTCAGCGTTAATCTGAAATGACGTTAACGCCACAACACGGCAAATCTCCGTTAACGAGCTACCGCGGATCGCCCCGTGCTTGGGGCTGGACGGCCAACACATTAACGAGCCAGTAGTTCCCACCCATGTAATTGAGCATTGCATGGCACATCCGACATACTGTTTTACTTTTGTCCATGATGCGCTTACCTTCAGGGTCATACTTCACATGAAGACTCTGTTTTGTTTTATTTATTTTCTTTTTGGTTTTATCTGAGCACATATGTGTGTATTTACATATATATTCATATTTGTAAATGCAAGTATGTGTACTTGTGTACATATTGGGGTTTTTTCTGTATATGTCTGAAATAAAGATACAATAATAATAATAATAAAAAAAGACCAAAATAGTTCCAAAGGCCAGATCTGAATGAGGGTGGGGGAGGTTCAATTTGCCATGTTGCAATGAGCTTAGCCTCTGTCTTGCTAGCTTGCGCTGTGCTCAGTGGATCTGCGCTCAACAGTGCAGCCTAGGCGGAGTAGTCGAACGCAGATCCACTGAGCTCTCAACAAGGACAGCATCGTCAGAAGAAAAGTTGATAAAATAAATAAAAAATTTTGTATTGTTCGATACATATGCTTACCGAACCGAAAGCACTGTATTGAACGGTTCAATATCGATATGAGTATCGTTGCACCCCTATTTCTAATATGCACAATACATTTATTTTGCGAGAATTTACCAGGGTTCCTTTGTGTAACACAGGATTTGGGTCACTGAATGACCCATCATGTTTCTGGACTGAGAGCAAGTAACTGACTGATCTTCTGATGTCTTCTCCTAATCTGACGTTCTTCCGTTCTTCATTAGTCTGACGCTGAGTCACAAATGAAAACATTTTTACTATAAGAGCAGTCACCCTGAGAACATGAAAAAACAAAGTGAAAAGGTTGATTCATTATTATTCATAATGGAGATTTTAAAATATAAATATAAAGTGAGATTCAAATTACTACTTTACATCCAAAACTAAAGAAGAGTTATATAAACCCATACTCACCAATTACTCGATGGCACATAACTCAATGTACCATAGGCTCCATCATGCCTTCTATAGCTTGTGATGTGTTTACTGCCTAGCAAAAAAGTACACTGTGCTTATAAAAGTGTCAGTTCATTACTATATATATATGAATACATATATGAATCACGAAGGCGAAATACAAGCATAGTGATGATTTGTGACACAAAACTGACTTTTCCCCTAATTAAAACACAGAAAGTTATTCCATAAAAAAATTTGTGAGTGCATTTCAGTGCATTTCAAGTATGATTTTTTTTTTTACAATAACTTTAACATATTTAATAAGGTTATGTATTTTTTTTAACCTTTATTCTATTGATTTTTACCACAGTCAAAAATTGTAATCTTTTTTGTTTGCATAATTTTTTCCAACATATTTGAGCCCTCATAGCTTCTGAACTACAGGAGATGAAAACACATGAAATCTTTTGAGCTAAAAACACATTCAAGCTCCATTTTTGGTTTATTATGCACCCAATCCAAAAATAATAATCTAAAAAGTCCTGCATTTGTTCATTAGGATTTGTTCTTCAATTACTATTGAGCAAAACTTTACCAATTTAATGATGCAGAGTACAGAAAAAAGCACTCACATCCTTAATGTTTTACTTGCTTTCTGATAAGTCACTAGAGAAAACTTTTTTTAAAAAGTACATGCTGTGTATACTTGATGGTGTTGTATTACCATGTGGGACAGGAGACTGGTTAAATTGAGCTACAGTATATTTCAAGAGCCTGTAACTCAGCTCTAACATCATTAAACTAAGGTGAACTTCATGCTAAAATATTTGTTCAAGAAATCCTTCGGAGAGGTCAAATGGTAACTTTTTAAAGATCCGAATAACTGTATGTGGACTGACCAGTGAATCTATAAATTATACAACAATTTTAATTTGTAGCATATTTTGCACCTAATAAGGATATTTTTTCATGTCATCCTACCTTGCTCAAGTTTATTAAGAGCATCCTCTCTGCTGCCAGGTGGCATCTCAAACCACTGATTGCTCAAGTCAAGGTACCGGAAAGCTAAAACTGTAGGTCCCAGTTTTGACATTGTCTGCTCTAAACATCCAGTTGGCAAAACAATCATTTCAGCAACCCTTTCAGTAGAAAGAAGCTTTCTTGCATATGAATCACCAAAGCCATTCCCTGTTGAATGAGAGAAATTAAATAATAAGATGTCAGGTATTTATAAAAGTCAACAAATTTTATGTCTGTGTCTCAGTGTCTACCTTCCACTGAAACAAATATATTGGAGCTGGAGTCAGGGACTGTGTCATCTGGTAAGGATCCGTCAATAGTGATAGTCTTTGTGCTTCTTCCTATCATAACAGAGATAAGTATAAAAAGGAGAACAATAACTATGTCTGACATTAAACTATCCATCAGAAATACAAACCCACTCACCATCTAAGTTATGGACACTGGTTTCTTGATCTCTCTTTTCTAATCCTTCTTTCTACAACATAAGATAGAAGACAACCACTTTATAGTATGCCTTGTTTTTGGAACTCAGACTGCCATAAAAGTATCTTATACATTTCACTCACCTGCACATTCAAAGTTTTTTCTATTGCATCTATTCCAAAGCTATTCTCCATATCATAGAGACGTATTTTGATGGGTATTGGACCAGCGACCATGGGCACAGCAGAGAAGGAGACAAACTGAGAGGATTGGGGTTCAAGAGTAATGTTAACATAAGATAATTTCGTGGCTGAACCAGGAGAGCAAAGTCCTTCAGTTTGTTCCATGTGCACTGCCACCTGTGAACATGCAGGTGTCCAAGAAGACAAAAAAATCTTTACTTATTACACGCAAAGTAGTTACTGTTTCCAGTGACATTCAGCGCTGATGTTGAGGTTAATCTACCTGCAGTTCGGAGTCATCATAGTTGTAGATAACAGGTGAAACCGACAGCTGCTCAAATTTTTTCACAAATGAGGGCAGTCTCAGAGACACAAATGACCTCTTAAAGGCTCTGATCTC